ATTACAGTTGACATTTCTTTCTTCTTTTTAGGCTGAAAAATGTCCATCTATAAAGTCAGGTGTGAATCCCACGTCTCGCAGCTATAGATGATGGCAGGGTTACATTCGGAGGTAGATGTTTATCTGTGCAGTGGTCCTGATAGCGCGCGTGTTTTTACCAAGGGAGCGTTTAAATGAGGTAATTTAAGGGGCTAAAGAGGGGGCTTTGTTTGCAGTGTCAATATTTATAGTGACACATGCTGGATGAAGGCTGACTGACTCTACTTAAATTGTATGGGCGTGTGTTTGTGTGTGTGGTTATGGGGATGGGGGGTAGTGGAACACAGAGCATGAATAGGCACCTGATGACATGCCCCAGTGAGACAACTAAGGTCATAATCATAACTTTGGTATCTTAGAATCAATAAAAAATGTAAGTTATATTGCCTAAAGTCATTTCAGTTGCAAGTAATTGTTTGTCTCTTGTCATGAGTGATTTATTTATTTATTTTTTTGAGTCACAGAGAACAGAGAAAGTCTTGATGGAGCATCTAATAGGCTAATGGTTGAAACTCTGAACAAGATAAACTTTAGAAAAGTCAGCCACCACTGTGTAATGTGATTTATTAGCGGACCCCACATCTTACACAATCTACAAGCCTGATTTGCATTGCAAATCAACGGCATGCAAATGAGGGAAACACATGCTGGCTGCAACACTTATCTGCACAGAACACCCTACATTCTTCTGGTGGTGTATAAAAAAATAGTTTTATTCTTCCTCTTTGTTTAAAAGACACTTATGTTTTTCAGAAGGTTTCACCAGAGAAGTTCGGTTTTATTAGCGGTCAGAGAGCATCTTAATTTCTAGAGTCAACATTGTGACTCATTCATCCTCATCCTCTCTGCTGTTTGACCTGTAAACTACAACCGATCACAACTTTGCCTCCAATGTTTCTTGTTGACACATAAACTTTGCAGCCCAAGCTACTACAGTTACATCAGAGAAATCATCACTTTGATTCTACGTAACCTAACTATTATTTATACTACAAACACACGGCCCTGTGGAGAGCCCCGCCTCTCCCCCTTTCCATACGGGATGGTGTGTCTCCCTTTCGCATTGACCTCTTACAGTCACCAGAATTGCTTTGTTGCCATCTAGTGGTCATCTGAATTTAGCAACTTCCTCCTTTTAAAAACATTTGATGGTAAGCACAAACAAGTCAGTACAAATCTTAATTAGCTCAAAAAAAAACAAAACAACTTTATTGTTTTATTCACAGTGCCCAAATGTATACAGAGACATTAGGTGAGCCACCCTGACATGTTCTTACAGTCATTTTTGACACCAAGGGCTTCTATTGAAAGATTACACGTTGCACAAAATGTTAGTCCAGAAAGTAGACATTTAAAATCCTAAAAAAATGAAACCGATCAATGTCCTTCTACAATGTCCGTTTATAAAAACGTTTAAAACTTTGTATATTTTTAACATGAAAACAGTCAAAAAAATGAAGAAAATCAAACTCTGAATTGCATTATTTTAAAGCATTAGGTCAAAGTCTTACAAATTAACAGTGTATAAAATGCACAGTGCCTTGTAACAGAATTCATACCTATTGAATTTCGCATTTTGTCACATTGCAATCTCAAATTTCAGTATATTTTATTGGGATTTTGTGTAACTGGTCAAGAAAGAGCAGTGAATAAAAACTGAAGTGAATGGGAAACTATTGTTTTTAGCTATATATAAAAAATGGTGTGCAATTGTAATCAGCCCCCTTAATTTTGATAGCCTTAAGAGATAATCCAGTGCAACCAACTGGCCTTCAGAGGACACCTACCTAATGCTAAAGAGGAGGAAGCAGAAGGCTCCTGTTCAAAGCACAACTTCCTGTTTACAGTCTGCTGAACACCATGGGGGAGACAGCATAAATATGGAAGAAGATGCTTTGGTTATATAAGACCAAATTTGATTTTTAAAACTTGTAATTGGCATGTAATTATGTTCCTATTTCACAAGGATAATCATCATAAACTATACCAGAGCTATAATGGAATGATTTAAATCGAAGCACTTCCAGGTGTTAAAATGACCGAGTCAAAGTCTTAAATCCCAAATCCAGTTAAGAAATTTTAGAAAGACTAGGAAATAATGCGTGCAGAATCTGAACTTGCGCTATTTTGCAAGCATTTCCGTCTCCAGTTGTGTACAGCTGGTACAGAGAGACACCTCATAAGGGTAATAAACTAGATACATTTCTGTTTATAAAAATATTGGCTGATGGGGCAAAATACATCACAATTTTCAAATCTGTATTTGTAAAGAACATTAAAGAAATCGTCATTTCGTCTTTACCTCACTCTCAGTCATTTTGAGGTTTGTCTTGATTTACAACAAAAAAACTCCAATTAAGTATATTAACGTTTAGTAGTTGTAGCATTACATACACTATGTTTAACTTTAGGACATATGTATACTTTTGCAAAGCCGTTTTGTTGTTTTGGAGAGAGTAAAAATCCAAGAACTTAACAGAAGCAGATGTATTTGAATATCTCATGGTACCAAATTACAAATTGTTACAGCTTCACACTAAAAGTACACATTTTACTGGTATACATTAAGATGCTGATTTTAGTAAAGCTGATATTACACCTGTATGTAAACATACAGTACATGTTAGTCCTGCTGAATAAAACCAGTATGGCTCAGTTACCCTGTAACAGTGTTCATTTTGAGAGGTATTCAAAAACAAGGCAGCCTGATGCTTGTTGCCTGGACCAGGTCTGCACTGACAGTAAATGTATGACTCATAGTGAATAATCTGGAGCACTTGCTAAGTAGCATATTCAGAAACTGATGTGTCACTTTGTTCCCGGTTCATAGCTGCTTTCAGGTTTGGAAGCTGTAAAAATCAAAACAGGACTGAAACAGTGTTTCGGGTCACTTTCTGCTGCTCAAAGAGGCAATTGTGCTCTTTGATCAACTTAACCCCGCCAAGTGTTTACAGAGGCCTTTTTGTCTGTGCTTCCCGTTGCACCAGTGCTGCTCAAACAAAGTGGAAATCTTAGCACAGCAAGCAGAGTGCCAGTGTAAAAACATATAGAGTTATATAGCTGATACAAGTATACAAGCCAAAACTATACACAGGAGTTTAACGTTATTGCACTGCGCCTCTTAACTGGGGCAGATATTGCAGCTTGTATAACTTTAACAAAGCATTTCTCATCAAACTCATAATTTTATACCATATTCTGCTGGCAACAAATCTTAAATTCAACAACCTCTGGTATACAGTATTTAAAGCAGGGAGGCAAACATACATATATTCTATACTTGTATTTACAAATACTGGATGACCTGCTATCAAATGCCTTAATTCATATGGCTCAGTGCATCCATGGACGTTACACATATATTACCCATAAATATCTTTTTAGCCAATGTTTATAGGAACAGGTAGCATATACTTTAACATTAAGTGAAGCAAATAAATACAGTTCTACATAGGAACTGGCAAGTGACCAGATCTAGATGATATTTAGCTTGAACAGAGATAGACTTCTGGAAACTCAACAGTCTGATAGCTTCCCAGTCAGTGAACATACCAAAGCTATTGCCGTTTGATTAATCCCATAGGTTTGAAATAAGATGGCAAAATAATGTTTAACCAGACTTGAATAATTTAGTTGTATGTCTGAAAACCAGTCGGATTTGCAAATTTTTTTGCAGAGCCAACTACTAAAAGCAGTACCTTTCAGTCACAACACATTTATAATCTTTTTATGCTTTCAGACATTAAAGGTAACAAGTTTACAAATAGAGGTTAAACATTTCTATGTATATCACTATTATCCAGCTTATATTGGTGATATAAGTGATGGCAGATAGCAACCATCAGAAGTACTAAAAATAGTGTCCCAACAACTTTAACCATGTTTTTTTTATGCAAAATAGCTTTATTTGAATTTTTAGCTCAATCACTTTAAAGAGATCTCTGATTTTCCAAGTTGGAATTCAAACATCAGGTGGTGTTTTTGTTGTATTTCCAATCGGGATCTTGGAAAATCTGACTGGAGTATGAACAGAATAAGAACACAGCACAAACACTATCATGTTTGGATTCATACTTTGGCGTGGAATATAAAAAAAAGAGTGACAGTTAGCTATGTACAGTAACACTGAAATGTTCCAAACAATATCAGAGAAACCACAAAAGGTGTAGAAAGCATTAAAAAATGATTTTTTTGTTTTCTGTATGGAGAAGTGTGCAACCTGGGGTTGTTTGAGCAAAAGGGAAGAAGATATTAGAGCAAAGTTGAACATGCTTTACTTGGAAAAGTTGGAAGCCCTTTATAAATATCAAAGTGCAAATAATAGGCTACATTGTTCTCTAGAGGAATGGTTCTCAAACTGGAGAAAAAGTACATCTGGTGAACATGTTCCCTTTACCTCTGGAGTAAAGATGTAAATCTGGGAATGACATCAAAGCCAACTGAGACATGTTCCGGTTCCAAGTAGGGGTAGCCTATTATCATTTAATTTATTGTTAGTGGGAGAAAAGTATTGCAGTATGAAATGTGACTTATGAACTGGTGAGCTAACCAACACCTTGGCAATACTTCACAGTTTTGAGACACCAAATCTGACCCTGATACTGAATGAAAAACCAACCAGGAACAAGATGCTACAGTACTGAGCCCGTGTTTCAGTGCTGATATGGCTGAAGAACAAGAGGCAGAAACTTTTATATGAAACATATTGTTCAGAAAACCCTATTCATTTTTTTTTAATTGACAGACCAAACGGCTGTTAAGGCTTTGTTGTGTATGAGCTTGTAAAGTGAGGCTGTGATTAAACCTAGTTGGCTTTTAGAGAAAAGTGAGAAGAGTTACATTTTCAAGTGACTTACAGAGTACAGAGATTAAAAAGGTTTTGGCATGTGAAATGTTCAGGTTATCCATCACAGTATATACAGTTTATACAACTTATAATATGAAGATCAACCTTCTTTTTTTTTTTCTATTTGGCTCTTCAAGTTGGTGATTCAGCTCAACAATGAAACATCAAGCCGGCAACACTGACCTAAGCCACTTTTAGTGTGAATCATTATTTAAATTGATGATCTGAGTCAGCCTCACACCGAGAACATGCTGGATGTTAAAGTGTACAGTACCTCGACATAACGACTCAAAGCATAGAGTTAAAAACGCACTTCAGTGAAAGGTAGACAAGTGAGATAAAGACATGAAAAAACGTACAAGAGTGCAAGCATTTTTAAATTTTAAAAACAATGAAGGATGTGAGGAGATTGTTATTCTATAATATTTTTTCAGCAAAGTCCAGCTGGCTTTTATATACACGTCTCATTTTTATTGTTCTTATCACTATTATGCCAACTAAACTCGTGTTAAAATTCACATCTGAACCCTTCGCTAACACATGTTGACTCGTTAGCCTTTTCGTTCTATTTGAGCGCAAAGTTACAAACGAAAGCAGGTCCACATTTGTTTTTCTTACTAAGATCATTCTGCTCCTCAATGAATCCACTTTCAATTCTTTATCTCCTGCAATGCTACATTCAACAACAGCTCCACCAGGGGGAGCTATACTTCTTGTTTCCTGGCCACACTGCCTTCCAGTGCTCCCACTGTAAGGGCAACGAGCTGTGGAAACAAACGTGCTGGAGAATAAACATGGATTTGGATTAAAACGTCTCCCCTCCATGTATGCTGGAGATTAAAAACCATCAGAGCAACAAGAGAGACATTATGGGATGCCCTCTGCCTCCTCTTGTTCTCCTTCAGGCTCAGGCTCTTCGGCATGGGGGTGAGTTTTTGCTTCTGCAAGTGTGTGTACATATCTGAGTCGACTCCAGCAAGCCTTGTTCTTGTGCAGGTGCCCCATCATTATTTGGCTGAGCATGCTGGGCTCAGTGAAGCGCTGCCACTCCTCAAACAGAGGCTCCACGATGTAGGAGATAAAACCTGAAAGATGTGGAACTCCTTAATAAGGCCTATTTAATGAGACTGTCTTGATAAGTAAACAGGATTTACCAATCTGGATGGCTGGCACAGAGTCTGTCTGTTGGTCACACAAAGGACTGATCTCCAAGTCAAATTTCCTTTCCAGGTCACCTTCCAGGTCAATAAAGACAGAATTGATAAAAACAATTGCAACAAGAACAAACAGTGAAATAAAGTGCATACACTTGGCATTTTAAAATACACATCTTCAGCACACCATAATACTAAATCTAGTTTGAAATCTGATATGTAAAAGTTTACTCACCCTGCCTATAAAATTCCTCACACACTCTCTCACTCCATTGCCTGCTCAGCTCCCACTCCCGACATGGATTACACACATCAGCGCATTTCAGGGCAATCTAGAAGAAAAGAAGAGAAATGAATACAAACATATCACAATAATATGGAGATCAACTACTAAAGCTATGTGAGAAAATTATCATTTGGATTCTATACAGTTCAATCTACATGCTTAAATACACTGTATAAAAATACACACAACCTTTTTCTTCACTATGACACAGAAAAAATCAGACTAAATGTTTCCCATTATATGAGCATGGAAATTATTTCAACTCGTTAAATATCTGCATGTCAAGAGAATTTTATTATTAATTTCTCTAAGTTTAGAACTTTACATACATTTCCTTAGTATTTGACAGCACTACATTTAAAGCTTCGTAACTTGGATTGAAGGTTTTAGGTATCCTTATCATCACACATGGCGACACTCCCATGGAAACACATTCATCTCAGGGACACAAACTCTCTTTCCTGAACAGCATATCCTGGGCGGACATTTCCATGATGTTTAGGCTCGCGTATAATTACTTCAACAACTGGACGTGTCAACCTCAGGCATCTTCGAGGGTCTTGTGTGTCTTTTTATCTGTAAATATCTAGTTTCATTTGAAGGCGGATAGGCAGCATACCTGGAGTATGAAATGCCTGTGTGCAGCCAGCTGAAGGTCCATATCCTGGTTGTCCAGATGCTCTCGGAGAGTTATCAAGAATTCGTTTTGTCTGTTGATGTCTGTAGCCAAGATGAGAGAACCCAGCTGCTGCTCTATATCCTGGCTGTAGAGTAAAGGAAGGCAAACCAATTAGCTTTACTTCACCTGCTACAAGTTTCATACACCATGCCTTCCCTTTAACAGCCAAATGATCTTATTTTTCCTGGCAAAAGACATCCATGTGAAGACTAAAAGTAAAGTCACATGAAACCCTTTCATTACTTTATCCAGTGAACATTGCTTTTGAGTTCTAATTTCATGCTAAACTTATTTATATGAAAAGAAAACTTACAACTAGAATGAAAATAGTAAGAAAAATCCAGCTTTTATATTTAGTGTTTTTTCAGTGAGAGAGAATAAATACTTATCAGATACTTAGTAAGAGGAAAAACGCTCCCTAACACTGTAACTCCCCAAAAGGGTTCATCTTAACTTCATGGGTGTCCAAGGTTTTTAGTGTACTGTGTTTTTTTAAATTAGATTTGCAATGTGCAAAACAGTAACATATTCCAAACATTAATGAGTAAACTTTAAGAAATTGCAGTGCTTTTAAGACATGCAATCTAGTAAAAAGGTGGTGGGGGGATGCATAGTTTTTGTAGATGACGAGATCCTTCTAAATAAGGTAGAAAACTTGCCAAAAGATCAGATTATAAAAGTATATAAAAATAGTAAATCTAAAAAGAAGATTTCTAAAACCAAATCATAAAATATTCTGATTAAAAATCAGATTAAGTAAGATGCGTGTTCTTACGACATGTCAGCCGGCAGGTGGCTCAGCAGAGCAGACTCTCGGAGCATGCCCACGGTGGATCTCCAGTGGTGGCTCTCCAGCACCGAAGTGTTCTGCACAGCAGGAATATCATTCAGTATCTGCTCCTCTGACACTCCACACACCACAGGTAAACCCAGATGCTGACACCCATCCACCTGCTTGTGTTTACCTGGTAGAGGGATGCCAGGTGGTGTCTGGTTTTAATGAGAAAAGGCTGGTTGACTCCGGGGTGATCCACGTCATGAGCTGCTGCTGCCATCAGACCCAGGAACACATCCAGAGGAGTCAGCAGCTCTGCCAGCTGCAAACACAAATGTTCTGAGAATCTCCAAGAGAGATGCTTGTGAAAAAGCTAATTGAGAAATCATTGCAAATCAATTTTTTTTGCGTCTATTTTGTCAAACGTTCAATTTCTGGGTAATGTAAAGTTTATTTAAGTTGTCAAATAACCCAAAGTATGTGAGAAAAACCTTCAAACAAAATATCAGATTTGAAGGATACTAAAAACAAGATTTTTTGACAATTAAGAAGCAAGATTAGATTGGGCCCTTGTTCCACCTTGTTTGCAATGGTTACAGTAACAATAAGGTTTACATAGTAGCTCTGACTTTACATTTGGGTAAATTTAGGTAAGAAGCAAGTCTGTTTCTTGACATTGAACTCCCTACAGTTCAATGTCCACTTTTCTTAAATTTTCCATTTTGAGGAATGGCTAAGAGAAATTGGATCATTAGTTATCTACATCTCCAAATTTGGTTTACTTCCAAATTTATATCAAAAAGCAAAACTGACATCGTTACAGGTGGCCAAAGATCCAGCCTCCTTATGCCTCATAGCATAATGTAAATCCTAATTGCTAGGTAAAGGACAATGGAGCACATTGATTAGTGAAAATGCAGACTTGCTTTTTCTCAGAGAGTGTTTCTTATCTTCAACATACAGGTTAGCGTGCCGTATTGAATTTCATTTAGTGCTTTTAACAAAATAGATTAATCATAAAGTGCCTCTTGGAGCAACAAAAGCAATTACTGAATAAGGGGAAAGATGCAGAGATGCTTAATTTGGTCAGAGGGCTTCAGAAAAATCTCTGAGCTCTAGATGGATGTGTCACAGTGCTCAAGTGAGCAGGAGACGTCCCTCTGGGAGCACAGCTTATAGATTATGTCAAGGAGAAGCTCAGGCCTGCTGAAGCTTTACAGTGTGGGCATGACAAGAAAAGAGTGTGTGTATGTTTACCTTAGTCTCTTTTATGTAGCAGTACATGGCTTGAGTAACATCAGCAGCATGAACAGCATTATGATATGGATTGTGGGAATGGTAATCTTCCTGCACCATTCCTGCAAAACATTGTAAATTATCAATAAGCACTGATTGTAATAAAATTAATCTACAAGGTCTCTGTTTATTCTGGTTAGTTGAAACAAATGATAATGCAGAAATTATTCTCATAGAATTATATTAGGAAATAGGTTAAGTATTTGGTATATAAAAACAAACATAACAGCAAAAGTCTTTTGCTAGCTTACCAAGAAACCTGTGTAGTTTAACCATGTCCAGCTGGAAGTGGTGAATCAATCCACAAACATTGAAGAGATGGCACATCAGAGTCACAAGACTGTTACCTACACAGATAAATTGTAAAAAAGGCATATAGACTTGGATCATAAAAAAAAATACATAACAGAATATAGATTTAGCTAGTGAAGAATGAGCAGTCATGTCAGGTTAAAATAATCTCACCATTTGTAAGACGATCAAAGAGGAAAATGTCAAAGTTCCATGTGTCTACTTTTGAGAGCATGTGCTGTGAAGAAAGACATTTATAAGAGTTGATTTGCTATTCGCAAACTATCTTAAAAATCATATGTGCATCTTTGTTTGCGTGGTAATGCGTTTCTGTGCCCTCACAGCTGCCTGTCCCAAGTAGTCATCATCCAGCAAGTGCAGGGACCCGGGAGTGTGAGGCATTAATCCCCTCAACAACCTGGAGGCATGGCAGTATCTCTGGAAGCTCAACAGACGCTTCAGCTTTCTCCTTGTTCCGGACTCGACCTCCCCTGGCCGTGAATTTGCTAAATTAAAAAAATTAATTAATTAAAATTGCATTTAAAAAAAAAAAAAAGTCAAACAATCTTCATTGATGCATCATAATGTCCTTCATCTATCTATATGTCTACCTATAAAATTATCAATACTTAAATAGTGGACAGTTTAAACCATATTTGAGTCAATGAGGAATCATACTCTTTAGGATCCGCAGGTCAATCGGCGGGTAAGAACCTCGTCTCTCAGCCAGCAACACACCAGCATGACCAGCGTTCAGCCTGCCATCAGCTGTCAGAAAGAAAGAGAAGAAGAGCCAGATTTAAAAAAAAAACTGCAAGAATAAATAAAAAGATAAAATGGTAAAGCAATAAGTGAAGTGTCAGTGGTGTTTCAAAAGGACAGTACTGCTGCATGTGTGTTATATATATATATATATATATATATATATATATATATATATATATATATATATATATATAATATGATTTTATAAATCTTAATGCAGCAATCTTAGGTTTGTACATTTCTTGTCCAAATCAATCATTTTCTAAGCAAGAACTAATGAAAAAGGAATGCAAGTACCTAACAGTTGTTTTTCAACAAAACAACAAATTGTGTACATAGATGTGACCCTAAATTATATCATGTTTAAGTAGTGTTGGAAATTATTTATTTTTTTAACTATTCAAAATTATCTCCAGGCCTTTACTTGCTGGGGAAGCTCTAGATTTAGGAACAAACAACAAAAAAACAAATAACAGAGAATCCTGAAGAAAATATGAGCAATTCACACACCCAGACAAGATTAAACAGAATGAGGTCTCAAGTCATGGTACACACACGCACACACACACACACACACTAAATCTTAACTTGAACAGTCTGAAAACTATGGGGATAATGAATAATTCATAGCTCATCAGTTAGGAACTGGAGCATAGTTTATCCCTAAGGTTGCCAGTTCACATCACCTCAGTGACTGCCGTTAAAAGCAGCTGGCAAAGGCTTTGCTGTCACTGTGGCAACTGCCGGGACATGCCATATCCCGCCTTCAAAGTTCAGCCTCAGAAAGCATTCAGCGTGGAAGAAGCAAGGCATCACTTTAGTCAACTTTGGAGAAAACTGGTACAGCTTCCTACTTTGGCATGCACAGCAGCATGAACAAATACACAGAAAAGTGACTCATCGTCGTCAATGGCCTACTTTGGGCAACAAAAGAAGCGAACGGGGAAGAACAGTTTTTTGTTTAATCCTGAGCGTTGGCAGAGAAGACGAGGACAAAATACATCTTCTGGTAAACAGGCCAAGAACACATCACACCTCCAGATTACAGACAACCACATTCATTCACACAGTCAGCCTCCTCCAGCTCTCTGTAGCACTTGATTCTTCTCCTCTCTCTGCTCCATTTCCCCCCCAATTCTTCTTTTAGTTCTGGTTCCTGTGTTTACATCCTCCTCCTTCCATCTGATCCGATTCTTCCGTCTCGCCAGCCGCCTCTCTCCTCTGTCCCTTTCTCTTCCCTTAGCTTGGCGGTAACTAGGTCATTGTTTTCATGCGGCACAGAACTGGGTCATTTACGATAAAAATGCGAGTCAATCAGAAAGTGTGCTTAAGGAAGCGCCAACGTGCCCAAACATTAACACTCATTCGGTATGCGTACACACACTTACAAATGAGGTTAAATCCCAGTTTGAGAAGCAAAAACATGAGTGTACATTTGGCACACATACTGACACATGGAGCTGATCGAAGTATGGGGGCTTTACTGTGTCTGTGGGTGTTAGTTGCACAAACTGTGGTTTGATGTTGTTTTTAGTTTTTAAAATGATGCCAAACTGAGTGACGCTAAAACTCAAATCTACATGGTGTGAATGCACAGAAGCAGATGATGTTTCCTTCTGCCTGCAGCTGTTGCTGCTTTATTTACATGAATGTAATGCATCTATATCGCTATATGTTAATAATAAACTATAAAAATTAGTAAAATAAACTATTGTGTAAAATGTAGCTGAATCTGAGATTAATACACAATCGATAAGAAGACACAGAACTTCTCATTTTCTTACTTTGACATTAAATCAGATATGAACTTTCTCAAATATTTTTAAGGTCAGCAAAGGCAGATAAATTATTTTCCTGAAATATTAAGTTGTTTCTCCACCATTAGCACATTGAGCAACATTGATTGACAGCACTAAGATCCTTCTCTTGTCTCTGATTGGTTGTTTTCGTTATAGTCAAATTTAAAGTGATCTTTTTCAAAAACTTTGGTCTTTTTCAAAAACTTTGGTCTATTTTTCAGTCCATGGCTATAGCTTGTGCATATCATCCTACAAATCTGGATTTTCCCAAATAATTAGTGTTTGCCTTCTACAATTCCTGTTTTGGCTGTTGCAGCCTCCAATCCATATGTGAATTGTGAGTTCAGCTGAAACACTATTATTAAATCACAGGAAATAGCTAGGCAGGAAGCAGAACTTTTGCATCTCGTTTTGTCCAAACTGCTTCACATGAAAATATCATAAACTCATCAACATGTGAGTTCATAGAAGATCCCAGCTTTGTGTATAAAATCAGACATAAAAAAAATTGTAGAGTATCCTTCTAAAACTTGCTGTTGCTGTCAAGAAAACACCTGCAGACTCACAGAATGCTAATGACGACCAGGCGATCCTGATAAATGTAGTCCAAAAGGTGGATAATAAAATTGTCTGGGTTAATTTTTTTGACGACTTGTTTAAAGAAAAATTGCTCTGAATTTACATTTACGATCTGCATTTGACATAAAGAAGTTTTCTTTTATGTAAAAAAGAGACACAAAAAATTATTTTTCTGTTGATTTTTTTTTCCTCCAAAACCTGAAATTTGGGTTGTCTTCGTCATTTGTTATCCTGACAACATTAAATGTCCCAGTGACCTTCTCTGCATATCTGATAAAATCTCACAGTACCTAGAAGCAATAGGCCTAAAATATCAAAAACCTGTCATCCTTTTAAAAGAAATAATCACATGAGGTAATTACAGTTCAAAGGAAAAGTGTAGCGAATTCTCCATCCTCCACCTTCTGAGTCACTGCAGGGAATTTCCCACAGAATTAATCATAATTTTAGCATAAGATTTCCTGTGATTGACAGATTACTTACAATACTGCCCACGGAGCTCGTAAGTGCTTGTAATGTGTCTAAGTTTGCCATTTTCCTTTGTAAAACCTATATTCTTGACTGAATCTACGTCAGCGTCATGGGGACAACTGCAGCTCAGCAGATGGTACCACAGCTTTATTTATTGGAAACTCCAGCTCCAACCGCCCCAAATCCCTCTTTTCTCTGTCTCATCTACTCAGCTGTCTTAACGCCTCCAAGCGTCCACCTACGTCATTCGTAAACATACGGCCAGAGGCATGCTTGTCAGAGTTAATCTGTCACACACGCACCTATGGACTTGTCAAATCTGCAAATATGAACACAAGCAGGACAAAAGAGGGAGATCTAAATTCAAGTTCTGCGTGAAACCAAAGAAAAGACTGGGGATTAAATTGTGAATCTTAAAAATGAGCTGCAAAAATGTCCTAAAATTGCTATGAAGGAGAGAGATCTCTAAGACCAAAACCGTCACACTCTTAAGAATTTTAATAGGTCACAAACCTTAAGCTATTATCGTCCTGACTGAGACAGCATGAAGTGCTGCTTGGTTGAACTTAAACAGGCATTATGAATTTATCAAATATGTCTTCCACAAGCTTAACTCTGTTATGAATTGTTATGGATTCTTTACCTTCCACATGTGTATTGCTGTTTTCTGTGCACTGCTTGATCTCTTTGACCTCGTCAACCTCCTCCTGCTCGTCTTTCACCCAACTGCTGCCTTCACTTCTCTTCGGCCCCCGAGGGTCTCCCCTGCGAGTTCTCCAGGCCGCCCTGAGCTGTCGGATCAGAGTGGGAAGTTCCAGGGCCAGCGACAGGCCAGCACAAGTAACAGGAGGAGTCCACACTCGAGAGCCAGGAGGCTCGTCGGGACAGAGCTCGACACCGAGACCAGAGTCCTGCATCCTGATATCTGGACCCCAGAGCCTCTCCAGTACTGGCATTGTAATACCTCAAAGAAATTAATGGTGCAGAGACGAGAGGATGACGGTGACAAGGAGACATTGAAGAAGGAACAGCCCACCATCAGATTAGAATGACAGATAATACGGGGAATCAGTGTAACAAAGACCGCCTGGAGAGATGGAATCAACAGCATAGGAAAATAAAGCAATCAAAACCGCCAAACTGAAGAAGAAGAGGAAAGTCCAAAAAGCAAGAGAATAATCTGTCGGTATCCTCCTCTCTCTCTCTCTTTATTCTCTCTCTTTCAGAATCCAGAACTGATATTCTGCTCCCTCCTTCTGACGCATACCTACTCATCTCCACGGTCCCACTCAGTCTGTGCTATTGAGTCGAAAAGCCCCTCCTTTCTCAGCTCAGAGCTCACTTACATGCTCTCCCTCAACCAATACGCTGCTACCCAAAGATGCTGCCAGCCCGACTAGTGCCATGCACACAAATTAATGCTTTCCCCACACATTTGCCTTTGTAGCAATAATTTATATGACATCAATCAGGCAATTAAAATTGAACAAGAGATTAAGTACACGCCTTTACAAAAATATTTGATCTAAAATATAGAAATGCAAACACCAGGATGTGCATTAAAATGAAAATATCACCCTCTCCCCAAACCTGTTTTGCTAAACTCAAATTGAAAAAATATGCATATTCAGTTCATTGTTTAAAATAAAAGGACATATTGTTACTTCAGATAGACTTAAATATATAATTCATTTTAAAGTTGCCCTTTGATTTTACTAAAAATTGTGAACTGATTTTATTTATCTATTATTATTTAAATCGGCAGACCTGCTCCACAATATGGACTACAATGCAAATGACGGTCCACTGCAGACAAATGTACCGGCACACTCCCTGACGTACACACTCGGCCATCCACATGGCCTTGAACATCACATATCAGACGCAAGAAGTAAGCAACAAGAAATGATTCTAGTAAAAGCTGTAAAACAAAGAAATAGCCTGGGAAAAAACGAAAAGGAAGCAGGGAGATAATATAAAACACAAGAGCACCATGGCAACATATAGTTGTTTGTAACTGATTTCTCACACCTCTTAAGAGTAAAATATGGAATTTGTTGCTTTCTGTGCAGTTTATGGAAATAGTCAAACCACTAATATGTTAGTCTAGTCAAGATACTCTATCTCACACCTGTAACTTGATGTTTTTGTCCACGCACATATTTAAACTCAGTACTTAAATAATAATGTTCAAGATTATTAAACACAGGCACATAAAAATATACAATAGATTTCACATCTATTTGGCAAAGTAAAGAACATATATTATCCATTAAAAGCATAAATTCAATGTTGAAAAATGCAAACTGCAAAGGAAGAAAGCAGATAACAAGGTCAGTGGAAGTCTTGTTTAATAAACTCAGGCGGGGAGAGGACTGCTGGCTCCAAAGCTATTTTTGCAAATCCTTCCTTCAAAGACTAAACAAGACCGTAATAGTTGCTAAAGACAGAGAAGCTTACATACATGGGACAGTGTGTTGATTCATTTGTTTTTGGTCCACTTTTAAACCTGAATTGGTCACACTCTTTGACAGATCAGGGCAACAAATTCAGCCTTCAAAAACTATGTTAGTGTGCTCTTTTAAGAATGTGCACATTTTAAAACTTATGTCATATGCAGGTGTTGTCTTGCAGTATTTTTAGGGCTCTACATCAATAACATTCTTAATCCACACTTTATATATTGGCTGAAAACTTGAAAACTCATGTCTGTTTATGCAGATTACATATTAGGGAGTATGCTTAATGAATTAAGCCTTCAAGAACCAAACTCTACGCTTTCAAATGGAAAACTCTCCTCAGCACTTCCTGTCCTCCAGAACGGTTCGGACAGTTCTGGGCCTCGAGGGGCCAGTGCACTGCATGTTTTAGAAGTTGCTCGACTAAACCCTTATAATTTAAATAAAGTTGCTCCAGCAGGCTCTTGCTGAACTTGGTGACATGCCAAAGAGATAATTCAACTGTCTGATTCTGGTGTGGCGGAGCAGAAACACAGCCAAACTATAGCTGTGAGACACTGAAAGCTTTTACTGGAGCTTTTGTGTCATGAGCTTTTACTGGATTCATTTGATGTTTATTTTCCATCTCTCCTCTTTTAAAATACTTTGTAAGTCACTAATACAGAAGTTTTCTGTCTCATAAATTTTTCCTTCTGTCAGTGTAACACCACAGGAAGATATATATTTATCATGTATACAATCTCTATTGGTAGAGCATATATCAGTGAGTGATGTCACTCAATTTGGCTATTTAATAGATTGAATGATTTAAAATGATTAGTTATAAATTGCTTAAGATCTTTAAGAGAAACCAAAATACCCTCATAAAATGCTTACAATTTCAAAGAATCTCTTTATTAGCAGAAACCAAGTTATCCACGTTTTCTTGCACCATTTTATTCTCCAGTGGAAATCTGCATCCTGCCGTGAAGGTGAAAATTATGTACACTAGTTGGAGGTCATCTTTGAATTGTGCTTGAAAGCACTTGTTGTTATCGCTGTTTTCTTTGTTGTCACAAGAAACCATTTTTGGTGAACAAGTAGAGCTTTGCAGCCATAAGAAAAACATGCGGACATCTTTTTTTTTCTTTCTTTCTCTTTTTAGATAACTCAGACATTCAACTGAGAGTCTTTTGAAATACTCATTTTTTTAACATTTCCACTTTTTGACACATTACAACCACAAAATGAACAAAGTAAATGCCCAAAATGTAGTGGGCATTTTTATTTAGCCATCCAGTCAAACTATATTTTTACGCAATTATGTGTCTCCCACAGAGGTTGAGGCAAGAAGCAAACAAGACCTCCTAAGGCAATTGTCAGCAACTTTAACAACTCTATGAGCCATTTTTGCCTCTGGTCCAATATGTTTAGTGTGACAAAAGCCATATAAATTTTCAAAACAAAATAGCTTATTTTTAAAAATAACTGCAATAGCAGCTTTCTTTAGATTTTTAAACAAAAAAAAAACAATCTCATTTGGCTTTAGTTTTTGAAATGAAAAAAATTAAAACTTTTACATAGTTTCGTTTGCCTTCACGATGATGCATCACAAACACAAATCATAAAATTTGTGTTTGCAATGCAAATAATCTGGAAAAGGCCTTCAAAGTCTGATTTCTCTCACCCATTAATTTAAATATCTACTAAAAATTTTGCTCACTAAGACCCAAGTCTGTGGTTTGGAGTTACAGCTATCGTATTAGTCTTCTGACCTAAGTCCTGTCACATTGCAAAATGTACTCAAAGGCAAAGTACATGTAAAACATGTGCATGTACTTGTTTTGCATTTATATGAAAAACAAGTACAATTAGGTCAATGATCATATAATGCCTTAGCATTACATGAGCATTTGCAGTGATTGCGAGCATATGTTTCTATGTTTCACCTAGATATTATGCTGGGTAAAAGGTAAGTGGATCCACACCAAACTACAGTGTGTTGCACACAGTGTGTCTCTCACTTTTGCACAGACCTGTTCCAGAGCATCAAAAGTTCTTACCCAGCATGCGAACCTGTATGACATTCTGCTCCAACCATTTAAATGCGACACCTCCACACCTCTGTGGCAAAGAGAAAGATGGAAGAAGACAGAAAAAAAGAGAGGCCTATGTTAGTATTGCTTTTGCTAAATGCCTTCAGAGACCAACAGTGACCCTATGAACAAACAAACTGTGTGTTAAAAGTCATGAGAGAGCTTTCTTGCTCTCATGTGATGCCTGGAAAGCCGGGACAACTAAACCCACAAGCTGCTATATTTATTCTTTAGAGTGTTATTAATCTAAATCAAATTATTAATGTGTAAAACATAAATGATTTTAGGTATTTAACCAACTTTTACTTTTAACCTTCTATAATTAAGTCAAAATCTGTTTTTACTGCAGCATGACCCAATTCTGAGTGTACCTAATGAAATGTAATGTTTGAAATTACTAATCTAATTAATTTAATTTCAAATATTCATATTATTCGTTATGACCACAGGGATGAATAAAAACTGAGAGAAGAGCTGCACTTAGTGACCCTGGCATCTGCGATTCCTATATCAACATGCCTGTGTTTGGGACACAGACCCTGGAAAAAGAGGGTCAAGTGGCACAGTGCCACACACTGTCAATGAGCTGCACATTAATCACATGCTTCCATATGACTCAGCCTCTTGGAAAGTGAGTTTTTTTTATTGATTCAAAGGTGTGTTTGTAATCAATTCAGGTCACAAGGTAATTATGGTTTTATACTTCCTGTGGTAAATTCTGATAACAGAATACAGAAAACAAAGAAAACAGGACACAGGTTACAACATTCTATTCAGTTCACTACAAGATAATATATCAATATCTGAAACGATCCAACACTCTTATAGAAAAGGACTGTGAATCAAAGTGACATTTTTTCCTAAATACGCTTTGAATTTAAGCTTTGGAAACATGCTTATGTTTGGCCAGTCTTATAACAAAGTTTATTTAATTGCAACCCTGAGTTTATAAACCTTCAACGGCTAAAACTAGAAGTTCATGATGCTGCTCTTTGACGGAAAATGTGTAAAGTCTTGTAGAATAGAGAAATGCTTATTTCTTTTGAACAAGGGTTTGTTTGTCTTTGAGTTAAGATGTTGCTCACTGTATCCTGATTAAGATAAGGTTATTATGGATCAAGTTCTGTCTTGCACTACAAGGAGACTTGGTTTATAAAAGCAGTCATTCTCCTTCAACTTTTCCGTCTTACGTCTCTCTGCAATCTCAAAATAAAATCTTCTTATTCACAAACAAACTTAAAATAACGCGTGTTTTTAACTTATTATACCTTTACACTAAAACCCTAAAAGAGAATCGAGTTCAATCAATGGGCTTCAAAAGTCACCTTGTTGGTTAACACAGGAGAGCATTCATCTGAAAAGCAGCCAAGAGGCCCATGGTAACTCTGGGGATACTGCAGAAAGCCACAGCTCAAGTGGAAGAATCTGCTGGATGGAACATTATTATGGTAGTTGTGACTTCCACATAACTGGATGTTATGGGAAGAAGAAACCATTAAGACTAGAAACCA